AAGTGCGTTCAAACTTGAAAACGTCTGCTGATTCGATGAAGTTAACTTATGATAAGAGATCTACTGAAGTCAACTTTGTACCAGGAGACAAGGTGTGGTTGTATAATCCCAGGAAGACCAAAGGGAAGTCTCCTAAGGCCCATATGACATAGTGGATCGTCTCTCAGACGTGACTTTCCGGGTAAAATGTGGTCGGCGAGGTTAGCCAAAAGTGGTGCATGCCAACAGGCTTTGGCGTTATCACGGTCCAGGACATTTCAGTTGGGACAAAGTGGAAAACAGAACAAATGACGCTACTGAAGACGTGCCACCTGAAGAAGCCACCGTCGAAGAAGAAACTCTACTCAGTTTTGAGAAGGGAAACGGTGAAGCTCTTGGTGAAGTTACTACCACTGATGTGACTGTTACCGATGATGGGACATTTACTGATGAAGCGGATGAACCCCACATGAAGCAGAAGCCAACGAGATGGAGACCAGTACAGAAGAAGAAAAGTCCCGTAAAATTAAGAGACTTTGTTGAATTGTAATTTTGTCTTTGTAATTCTGTACAGTTAATTAAGTTATTGTTAATTGTTATTGGTTTATTGTATGTGGTTTTGTTCGGGACGAACAATATTAAGGAGGGGCAGTGTTGCGTCATTGAGGTCACGTGACTGGTGTGGCGCCCTTTATTTTCTAGAACTATCTTGTTTTTTCATGAATGCTCTAAGTATTTACTAGATAGGGTAGGCGGGTATATATAAGAGGGGACAACATGACGCGAGGAGATTGTAATGTGTGTATAGACAGTGAGTAATTGAACTGCAGTCAGAGAGCACGAGAGATGTTACAGCGTTTGTTTTGCGCGATTGTTGAAGTTGAGTGTATTGGTAAAGTTATATTCGGAAATAATAAACCAGTTTTAGTAAGAAAGGACTTGTGTCGCTTAAGTTTCGTCGGAACGAAGTTACGGAAAGTTAATTAACAAACGGAGACGTAACAATATATAATCATCTAAGATGTATAACTTGTAGAAGAACCAGGATATGGTACTAACCATTTCAAGTGGTCCTGTAGTTCCATTTGGCTTCAAAGTCTGTTTGATTTGATTCTACAAACTTTCTGTTAAATTCTTATTTTTGTTACATATTTTTAAATTCTATTTTTTACTTGTTTTTTATAATTTTTATTATTTCTTACAATGTATTTTACATATTTTATTATTATTATAATGTATGTTTTGGCTTCGTTCTACACTAGATAATTTTACCCCCACCTTATATTGGTCCTTACCAACCAATAAGTTTTTCACTTCCTTCACTCATCTTTTTATTTGATCTCTCCTGCTGAGGAAGTGGCCTTCTGTTCATATATAGAAACAAAACTATAATTTTTAAATTCTGGTGGAAGACATTTTGCCAAAACTATTTTTTTTCCCCTTAAGATGATTTTAACCATGCTTCAATATTTTTCAGATTTGTACCTGCATTTGTTTGTTATATATGCTATTTTATACAAAACCAAGTTAATGGAGGTGTTTTTTCATGTTTTCTTGGTGAACTTTTGAGCATTAATTTTGCAGGAATTTATTCATTTGGAAACAGCAACATGAGCAAGCCATGGCAGAAAGTAATAGAGGGTAAGAAGAAATTTCAAGAAGTCATACAAAACCATCCAAGTACAGCCACTAAACAGTCCCTGATGAATGACTTGATCGCTGCTGTTTCAGACAGAAAACAGTAGGTGGTGCTTTGAATTTTATTTTTTCAGTAATGTAGACTTAACAAAATGGTTATGAAATCTTTAATTATATGTATACTTTCAGGATGCATGTGCTGTTACAAAATAATCAAAGTATATATATATATATAGAGGGCTAGAGTTTTTAGAAGCTTAGAAACACTAATTCAAAGAACAAAAGTGTTGAATAATTCATATGTTTATTGATCTGAAGGTATAACTTATCACCGGACTTTGCATAAAATTTTAATTTTGTTATATATATATAAATATGTAGGCTCAGTATGTAAATTTGGTATTCTACTGATTGTTTGTT